AGAGAAGTTCAAGAGAAGACCCTGTGCTGACCGAGATAGAAGTCAGCCATCTCCACGGCAAGGAGAGAGGCCCAGAGAAACCACCCCAGACTGACGGCTTGACATTGGGCTTCCAGTCTCCAGAATTGTGAGGAACCAGATTTCTGTGGTTAAGCCCTTCAGTCAGCGTGCATGTTATGGCAGCCCCGGGAAACTGCTCCAGCCTATTAGAACACACTTAGGATTATGCTCCCTGCAGAAAGGCTGCCTAGAAAGGAAATTTTATCATGACAGGCTCCACCGGCACTGAGATGCTGACCCAAATTGGAACATGGCCTTCCTTAAGGAATATTACAGTGACATGCGAGGGTGCAGCTCCTGCCTGGTGGGTCTGCAGGGATGAGTTCTGTGAGATGATACTTTAAAGACAGATGCATAGAGTAGCTTCACCTTCTTTTGTTGTAATCACCACCCCCCCACAACTTGTTTGTGTCAAAGTGTTGAATTTTAAGTCCTGGAGGAGGTCTGGCAGGGAAGGGGAGCTGCCTGTTGCCAGAGATACACTTAGGGTGGGGAGTTAAAATGATAACAGGATGAGTATGTTGCTACAATGTTACCATTGTACCCAATTCTTGTAGCAACATGCTGAGATACTCCTGGCATAGCAGAAAGTGAAAACAGAAGGATTTTCTCTGATCTTCCTCTGATAGGTGAAAGGGACTTTGCCTGTAACCAAGTTGCCCCTGGGGACTAATGGTAGCCAGATTCCTTTGGGAGAGGACAGTGGCTCACTCAAGTGGGAAAGCCCTAGGACAGAGCCTAGGGAGTCCCCATATTCGTGTTTGAGTCCTGGGCCCACCCCGGTTTTTTTGAGTCCCTGTGTCTGGAGACCCTCCTGTGCCCAATCTCACCCCAGACCAGCACTGGCCGTGGTTGGTAGCAGGGGGCCCCTGCCCTTCTTTGAAGAACATGGAGAAATGGAATCCATCCAACAGCTTCTGCTTGATCTGCTGTGTGGAGCTCTGCAAAGAAAGTGCCCGAGAGCCAGGCGAAGAGGTATCAGTGGCCTGTCTGGCTGACCCCATAGTGGGATACCCCCATTAGAACTCCTCCCTGGCGCCCCCTTCCCCAACAGGATTTGGCACATAGGAGCATCTGCATAGACCTCCAGCCAGAGCAGGTTGAGGTCTCCGGCAGATGAAGCTTGAGGTCTTGGGATTCAGATCTGAGCAGACAAACTGTGTCCTCGACACTCACCTTCCCATCCTGAAGGCATGGCCTGGGCTGTGAAGGTGACATTCTGACCAGGCTCCAAACCCCCAACAACCTACCTGCTCCTATCCAGGGAGGGCCCCTCTTCTCCTGTTTCCCCCAAACACATGGGGAGGGGCTCAGCACTGCCCTAATGGACACAGCTGAGGCCTGGCCTCGACGGGCCTGCCCTGGGCCCTGTGTTACCTGTGGCTGCCTTCTGGCAAAGGGCCAGAGGCGTATTCTCGAGAAACAGTCTCATTTTGGCCTCTTCTGCGACGAGGAGGTCGGCAGCATGTTGGGACACAGCAGGAGAACATGGTGTTCTCTCGAGTGTCGACTCCCAACTGAGCTGGAAGTGGGGCTGTGTGTATAATATGGGTGCCTAGTTACCAGAATTCTAAGTTCTCTTGGGGTCTGTTAGTAAGGAAGTGAGGTCACGTCTTGTAGGTTCCATCCTGTAAGCACCTCCTTTCCATAAGACCTACTCAAAGGCCCCTCTGGGCTTCTGGCCGCTCACCCTCCCCCATCAACTCCTTACCTTTCACCATTATGCCAAAATGTGCCCCTTCAGCACCTTGGGAAGACCTGGATGTAACCAGGGTCCCAGG